CTCGCGGCAGTCGGGCCGCCTAGTCGAGGTGATCCGGTCGTCGTCTTCGTCGTTCGGTGTTTGTTTGTGTTAATCACGTTCATTGAAAAACGATAAATTATAAATTTATAATTTCGATCTTATGACCACGTAGGGTCATATATATTTGTTCTAGAAAGCAGTAAACTATGCGACATCCCGCTGTGCGTTTAAATCTATTATAAACATTCACCATCCCAAAATTCCTGAACATGTTTGAGGTTTTAAAAATGTGCATATTTTAAATAGCTTACACACGAGCCATAATAGTTGGATCATATAATGATGCAAACGATTCATGCATATATATATATATATATATATATATATATATATATATATATATTCCTAATATGTCACGCTCATACGCAAATAATTAATGCAAGACAAATTGGATTATTGAACGATAAACCAAGTTAACCTTCGGCTTTGATACTAATTTTGGATTCGACAAAGAATGTCTATTATTGTTTTGTAATCGAATTATGAGAAATTAATCATAATCGCAGTGGATCTAAAGTTTATGATAAAGATCTTACGATTTTGTTTAAGCTGACTCTGAGACGACTTACAGACCTTGGGAGCCGGGCGAACTGTTCAGACCTCTCGCCTCACGAACTCACGTCAGTGCATCTCGCCTTGTGCCCATGACCTTAATGTTTTTTTGTTTTATTCCTTCACTTCAGTTGAGCATCGTGCAGGTGACAATCTTCCGAATTCTTGTGTCGACTCTACTCTCTCTTGCACTTATTCGCTCACGCCAACCCCATATTTATTCAAGTGTGAGTGTGAATTATGTGATCTCTAGCAATAGAATGAGACTCTCACATGGTTTATTAATTTATAGGCTACTAAAGGGACCTTAAGGAGGTTATGGATAACTGTCTCAATGGGCCAAGAGGCCCAAGACTTACTTAGGCTGTGGTCCACCCTATTTCTTTGGCCATTAATAATAAATCCATCCACTAAAGATTTATTATTGACTCTTTTCCTCACCCCAATTATATGGGTTCCACTATCCTCGATTATCTCTCCGTATCAAAGATATAACTTCTGTTGATTAATTTAATTACTGAAAATATAATTAATTAACTTCTTAGTTTGTCGAGACTAGTACCGCCTAATCTTTATTATTATGGCTGAACTTAATGCTCATGCAGGGCTTGACATAATAATCATTTTGAGCTCATCTAGGGAGCGTCATCAACTTTGAGTACCAAGACACAGTGACCGGGTATAATTGACAACACACCATGATTAATAATAATTTCAACTCATCGGGAACTATAATGACTCAAAGAACAATTATTAACCACACGTGTCATCATTATCAAACAACTTAAGAGTATGAGCGATATCACGAAGTCTAATTTATTTAGTGGTCGGTATAAAATAAACTTCTCCCCCAGAGTCCAATTCAATACACGTAAAATGAATCAGTATAATTCATTAGTTAAAATAAAATTAACCGAAATTATACTATAATAATCATATAGATAGATTTGTCTATTGCTATTAGGTTATAAACCTTATTTATATTACATGATTTTTTTATGCGACAATATCACATTATATTATCTTCAATATGTATAACGAGATAAAAGGCAAATCCATACATAAAATAAATTGCACAACAATTAACTAAACCTACGAAAATAAGTACAAACGAAAACGAAACAATGTTTTCAATATATAAATCGTCAAACATGATATATCAAAAAATATATTTAAAAATGAACAAAAAATATATTTCATTTTTAAAGACAACTGGAAGTATGAATATTTTCAGTATGAATTGGAATTCGTGATTCATATGTCAATCAACGAAACGGATTTATTTTGAAGTCCGGAATTTACGTTTTAGAAAACCAAAGAACAATTTGAATATAACATATTTTAAATATTTTATTAGGGCATCATTCCTTTGGAGAAAATGGTATGTCATCAAACTTCTTTTTTGAAATTAAGGGTTCATTGAAATATTCTTTTTTCACAAATTTTTTGACTAGAGTGGAAAATATTTTTTAAGATTATAATAGGTATAAGAGTGTTGGATATAAGATTTCTTTTTAGAAAAAAAGTTGTCCGGTTTGGTAAAAAAGTAAGATAAAAAGTCAAAAAAATATATTCTTTTACAAAAAAAAGATAAATTTGAGATTGTTAATGTATATAATATAAATATTTAATGATTCAAATTGATATACAAAAATAATAAAGAATATATTGATAATATTAGTAGTTATCGGATAACTAGTATTTTTTGTTGAATATTATAATATTGATTATTATTTAATTTTAAATTTTGTAAAGAAAAGGTGAGATAATATTTTTGTACATTTTTTATTCATGTATAATGAGATAAATTTTGGCTGAACAAATAAAATTAATAAAATTATGTGACCCCCTACCTAATTGATGTAAGATGAAGATGTCATAATAAAGTTAATGTATATAAATAAATGGTGTTTTTATTGTATATTACTTATTTGAATTAAAAAATCATATGGTATTTAACTTATTTGATACTAAAAATTGTTAGAACTTTTTAATATTTGCTTAGACTTAAAAACAAAAACCATATAAGAAAGCATACCCCAAATCCCACCACAAAAAAATAAGATTTACAACTATTCTTCTTCAATGTGAAAATGAATCAGATTTTAAAATATTTTAATCCCTTTTAAAATTTTCAATGAATACACTTTTTCTTTAAAATTCTCGGTCTGGTGAAAAGTTGCACAACAAGATGATAGAATTTGTAACTTTGTTTGGATTTTTGTTTGATTTGGTTAATTTTGAAAAAAAAATTAGTATGGTTAGTTAGGGATATATTAAAATAATATTTAAAATAAAATAATTAAAGTTGATTTGATGTAAGAGTACGAGAGAAATTATTTGAAGTGATGGCTAATTAAAATTATCTGAGTGGATGAATAGTGGATTAAAGTTGAATTGAAATGTAAATATGATTGTTTGATATTATTTAATTATATTGATAATATTGATGATAATTGAGTTTACTTAAAATTGAATTAAAAATAGTAGTTGAATTAAAAAGTTTTAGATTAATTTTGAGAATTTTTTTATCCAAGTATTTGTTATATACATGTGTAATTTAACTATAATTTTTGTAAATCACAAGTATTGTACTACTATGTATGTATGTATGTATATAAATAATAAATTACATGTTTTATTTATACAACTTTAACACTATTGGGGTGCTGTGATGATCTATAGTAGTATTACTATTGTCTTACTCTTAGGCAATCATCACACGCTAATGTAGAGTATAGTTTCATGGTTAAAGTATACCTTAGTCAAATATAGTGATTGAAACAAATCTTTGACGTGCTACAATTGCAAAATTAAATAATTACTACCTTGTTAAATTCAAAATTTGTTTTTTTTTTTGGGTTCAGTTTGGTTTGATTAATTTTTATAGAAAAATGCTATAAGTACATAATATATGTATATAGAGGTGTATGCTCTAAAATGGTTTGGTTTGGTTAATTTTTTTGGTTTGGTTTGGATATAAAAATTTTTAAATTGGTGGTATGCTTTTTTTTTTTATATTAAAATAATATTTAATATAAAATAACTAAAGTTGAAGTGATGTATAAGTAAAAGAGATATGGTGTAAAGTGATGATTACTTAAAATTATGTAGTTAATGGATAGTGAATTAAAATTGATGTGATGTATAAAAATGATGATTGATATTATTAATTATATTGATAATACTGATAATAGTAGTGTTGCGTTAAAGTTGGCTTAAAAAAGTGATTAAGTTCAAAATATTTAGATTTTTTTGAGAATATTTATATCGAAGCATCCTCTTAAAGTATACATTGTTGTTACAGAACTATGAGATGACGCGTTTTATAAAAATTATTATCCATTATTCACAAATAACATTGACATATAACCTAAAAATCAATACATTTCAAACTATTGTGAATACATTAATTAATGGTTGATTCTATGAGGAAATTATACTCTAGCTCCTAGGGTTCATGAGCCCAAAAAAATGAGACCTTTTTGTCAAATTTAAAGTGAACAACGGTGTAAAATATTCTCTCATCGGAGAGCTTCTGCTCTGATCGGAGAGTTCTTTCTCCCTTTTCGTTGGAAGGTTAATTTGCCAGTCAGTCGTCAATTTCTCTAATTAGGGTACTTGGGTACTTGTTGCAGGGGTGAGGTTTTGCAAATTTTCTTGGAGGGTTTCTATGGCGGGCAGACACTCGCATAACCTGACAAAGAAGTAGAACACTGTTGAGGGATTCTTCCTTGTTGGCGGTGGAGAACAGGGTTATCGACTTAGGCTCGAAAGATGTTAAAGCTAGTGTTGAAGAATGCCATAAAAGCTAGTTTGGAAAATTGTGGGGGATAAACGAGCAAATCTGGTGGGTGTGAAAAAAACGATGGGGCTTATATGGAGATTAAAAGGATCTATGGAGGTACGAGAACTAGGTGTTAACTTTTTTCAATTTAATTTTGAAAATATGGAAAAGATGAAGAGGGTAGCAGGAGGTACGAACTGGATTTTTGACAACCAGTACCTGGTGTTGAAAGGGTGGAAGGAAGGGCTGAGCAAATGATGTTTGCTTTAATGAACTTAGATTTTGGGTACAAGTACATCATGTACCGTTGAATTGGCTAACATCTGAAGTTGGGTAGAAGTTGAGATGAATAGTGAATTAAAATTGATGTGGTGTGAAAAAATGAATGGTTGATATTATTTCATTGTATTGATAATATTGAGGATAGTAGAGTTGAGTTAAAGTTAGGTTAGATTTTGAGTATGACTTGAGTGTGGATTGAGTTTACTCATATACAAACGCATCCTAGATCCTTTGTTGTGTATGTCTTGTTCTTAATCGATATAACATTCTTTTGTGAGATAATGTAAGTATTAGGTGAGCGACCCGTCATACTATTAAAATCAAAATGCATACTTATACTATCAAATAACATACTTCTGTTTATATTGTTTTTTTAAAATACAACATTTTAATGGTAGTAAATAACATAAAGTAAGTAAACGCAACAAATTTAACAATAATTATAAAATAGTTATTTCTAATTTTTCTAAACTAAAAAAATTAGCAACTCTTGATTTCCCTAAGTTAAGATGCATATTAACCGAAAGAAAGATCGATATCAACAGATATAAAGACTTTGATGAGAAGTCTAGTTAAACATTACCACCATACACTTTCTTCCACCAAGCTATCTGTGAACTCGTGATTCGATTCTTCAAATTTTCTTCGAAACCATGAGAGACTAGGAATTAGAACTTAAGACTTGTCACAAACTCATCTATGTTTTTATCCGAACTTCCACCTTCATCCATAGCTTCCCTAGCCAATTCCTTCCACTTGATAGCATTTTTCTTTATTTCCTCCTTCCTATCCCCTTCCAATACTTCCCTTATGCTACTAGCAATTGTCTCTCGACCAACAAGCCCATTATCATCACCTATGGCCCTAATGCCCATTTTCCACACGTCCATCACAAATTTAGAGTTCGTGCTTTGGTCAGTCCATTGTGGCATTGCCACCATTGGGACACCAAGGCTTAGCGCCTCTAATGTCGAATTCCACCCACAGTGTGTCAGAAAACAACATATGGCCGCGTGAGATAGAACATCTAGTTGGGAGCACCATGACACGATTAATCCTTTCCCTAACATGTCTTGTGTAATTTCTTGTGGGAGTTTTGTTTGTTCGGAAGATCTAACTACCCATAAGAAGTGCTTGTTGCTCAATTTCAGACCCCATGCTAGTTCTTTTGTTTGTTTTTCATCAAGCACGGCCATGCTTCCAAAAGACACATATATCACAGATGCGGGTTGTCTTTTGTTTAGCCAGTCCATACAAGCTTCTCTCACGGGTTTGCAGACACTGAGACCGTAGTCTGTGTCATCTAACAGCTTCTTGTCCAGGTACATTGATGGTATACTTGGGCCGATTGCCTTTACCGGTGAAAATTTTGCCATGTAATTGATAACCTGAAAAGACACTAAAATTAGTGATTGAAACATGACTTGACTAATAAGATTTCAAATTTGAAGGGTCTATAATGTTTGATTCATAAAAAGAAATTTAAGTCCTCACAATTCATCTTTTTACAAATTTATCCCTTCACTATTATAAATCCTAAACTAACAATTTCTGTTACTAATTAGCCCAAGTGTCCCCTGCTTGTTATCTTCTACCATAATAAACTTCATACGGAAATTATCGCAAGAGTATGCATCATAGAAATTGGGGCACAAAGAAAATATATTACCAACTAGCGTTGGTCCTGAACAATATGAGGCCCTGGAACAAAACAAAAATGATGCCTTTAAGCACTCTCATTTTTTGAAAAGATAATGTCATAAGCGATTTCGTGCTTTAACAAAATTTTTGATACTTCTAATTATCATCAAGCCAAAAATAAAATTAAAATTTTGAAAAGAAGAGGGATAAGGAGGAAAGATGGATCAAGTGCAAGATAGAAATTATTTTGAAAGTGATAACTTGTTGGTGGCTTGTTTTTGTTTTTATTAAAGTTTTTTTTAATTAGAGGCACATTTAATCAAACATATAACAATTTCAGATAGTTTAGTTTTTGTGAATTTGCAATCAGGTGGGTTAATTGGAATCAATGTTAATATTTGTAAATTATCATGTGTTATACATAAAACAATTATATAAAGAGAATAAATAAAATAAAAATATAAGAAATAGTTTCGCAATTTAAATTAAAAATATTTTTTCCAACCCCATTATCGGGGTAAAACACTAAAAAAAATTGTTATATTCTAACGAAAAATCCTACGTTAATATATTTTAATGGAAATTCCAACGGATATTCTAATGGTATAGCTTCTGTTGGAATCATTCCAACGGAAATTCTATCGAAAATATTCCATTGGAATGAGTTTTTTATTGAAATTTTAGATGGAATTTGATGATTCAAACGGCTATTTTTTCAACGGTTTTTTACCGTATGAATTTCTATTGGAAGATGCAATTCTGTTGAAATTTTTTATTCCACACTTGTTGGAAAATCTACCGTTGGAATCGTCAAAACCTGACGGAAATTTGAATAGAAAACTCATTTAAACGAAATATTTTTGTTGGAATTTCCGTTGGAATTCATTGGAAAATTCTAACGGAAATAATAGAATTGAAATATCCATTGGAATTGCTGTTGGAATTCCATTGGAATATATTTCCGTTGGAATTATTCATTGGAATTTCACCATTTTCTTGTAGTGAAAGAATTTACAAACTAGTCATACATTTATATTTTTGTAATACGGGTAAAGGACTAAGGTTGCTACTGGCTACGAGTTATAATCAATTGTGATTGACCAAATAATTTTTTTAGACTGTTAACTCAAAATCGAATTCACATTTAATCCAATTCAACTCTCTTAATCTTATTTAATATAATTTAATACGAGGAATCAATCATTCTCACACGTCACATCAACTGTTAATTCACTATTCATCAACTTACATAGTTTAACACTTTAACTACATATAATTTCCAATATCTCTCTCATGCTTTAACATTACATCAACTACAGTCATTACATTTTAAATACTATTTAACTCAATCCCTCACTCAATTAACTTTTTTCAAAATTAACTCACTTAAACCAATGAATCCAATTAAAATCAATTTTATTTATATTTAATAGCGTCATTTACATTTGTTGTAGAAGAAAAGAAGTTAATATGCATTAATAAAATAATTAAAAAATTTAAACATTTAATTGGATCTCTCTTATTCTGGCGAGCCCATAAAAATATTTAGGGAGATGCTACGGTCCCGTTTTGTAATCGTTAGATCAACTATCATTGACGGTTACATGATGATCTAACGGTTATAAACCCCAACGGAATGGTTCCATAACGGGACCGTAACATTTCCCACACATTTAATTCCACCCTTCTATTATGGTTAGCAAATCCATAACCAATAGAGAAAAAATTAAAAAGAAAATTCGAATATATTATACCTTATTTTAAAATTAGGCCATTTTTTTGGTTGGGCCTGGGCCTATGCCCAAGTCACCCTGCTGGGCCTGCCAACAAGAATTAATGCAGTTTCATAATTTTGTGATATTATTACAATAAAATCAATATCATAATATTTCCAACGTTTAATTAAATTAATTATTTATATTTCAGCCTTAGGGGGATCAAGTTCGTGTAAGATATAATGGTTTAACTACCGTACAATATCCGTCGATAATACCGATCGAATACTGGTGATCCATCTGGTAAAATAACCATTCAAATACTATTTTCAGACAATGAATTATACTAACTAGTACAGATCCCGTGTGATGCACGGGGTGCACAAAATTAAGGCTATTTATCAAGTTTTATAATTATATAAATGAATAAAGGAAAATGTACATGATATATATAGTACGTGACCTGTAATAGGCCAAAATGTGAACACGGATGATGCACGGGGTCCACAATTTTAAGGTCATTTATTAGTACAGAGTCCGTGCATCGTGCACAATTTTTTAGTATGTGTAATACAAATACATACCGTATGCACAGGACAGAAGCACTAAATGAGTTATTTCACATAGCTTGCCGGTTAAGTAGCTCCTGAACACGGGTGCACAATTTATAATACGTAATATAAAATCAGAACAGATTTCCATACAATTAGATAATAAATTAGATAATAAATAAAGCCTTTTTATTTTAATAAAGATTTTACGTACTTTTTTTTACTTATCGGATGTTATGAGATTTTTTTTGTTAAACCGATTTTATCGGATATGATACAAATACAATTAGAGGATTACACAAAATCAGAACAGATTTCTATACAATTAGATAATAAAAATGAATTAGATAAGAAAAAAAAGAAATTAGATAAAAAATTTTGAATCTACCTTTTTTTAGTATAGATAGACTATACGATACAAATTTTGACTTCACCGTTTATAAGATTTGTTTTAACAAAATCAAAGATGAATACTGAAGAATGTTTCTATTAACATTTATAATGTATATTTAATGTTTTTTTTTTTGCAAAATATTCTTTTTAAGTGTGATATATAAATATTAAAAATACTTAAAATATTTAAAAATACTTAAAATATTTTATAACATCTATAAAAACATCTAAAATATTCTATAATATTCAAAAATAATGTTTGAAGCTACCTAAATTTTTCTAAACTACCCGTAAGGAAAATATGTCTAAAAATTCTTCATTTAACCTTCATATATGTATATATATAGAGAGAGAGAGCAAATGTGTAAAAAAAAATTATACAAATAATATTTAAAAGTATCTAAAATATTAGTAATGAGACAGGTGAAATTTACATTTTTAAAAAATCTATATAGATAATGGATTTATAGTAGTACGTTTAAAGTTGTTACAATAGATGAGGGATGTGATTTTTTTTACTGGAGATGGAATTTTATAAGCTGGGTTATGAAAATTTCTTAAACTCGTCCATGCGATGAGTTTTTTAAGCTGGGTATATAGATTTAAAATTGTAAAAAAAAAAACTTTCATAAATCATTTGATTTGGTATTTTCGGAGAGCTTTATTAATTTAAAAGTGTAAAATAAATAAATAAAAAATGTACAACTGAAAAAGTTACAACCAATTGTATGGAGAATTAAACTAAATCCAATTTTGTAGGATGCATTAAATATTGATTAAATTTTATATATAAAATAAAATAAAAAAATAACTGGAATAGTTGTAAGTGTTGCAATATTTTATATTTTAAAAAAATAAAAAATCTTCATTTACGTATTGCATACCTATATTTTAGGAACTACATAGATATTCCTAAATTAATATTGCATACCCAATATTTTAGGAACTAATTAAATGCTAATTTGATTTGCATACCAAAAATATTAGATGCATTAATTAAATGATTGATAAAAATAGCAAAATATTAGATGCATTAATTAAATGATTGATAAAAATAGCAAATCATTAATTAGGGTTGACTATTCTACATACTACATTTAGTAAATAGTACCCCTTTAATATAAGTATAGATTTCATATCGAAACAAAACCCGTAAATAAAAAAATACACAAAAAAAAACCCATAAAATACTGGGTAAAATGAATTTTTTAATCTATTTTTTGGTTTTTTCATATTTTTGTCAACTTATTTACATAATTTAAAGTTTTTTAATATGTTTATATTATTATTTTTAATCATTTTAAAATTAATTAATTTGGTTTATTATAACATGAAATTTAATCAATACATATAAAATGGGATTAATGCGGTTCAGTGAATTGCCCAATATAATTACCGATTATGATGATCGTATTATAAAAATTTAAAAAAGGATTATTAATAGAGAGGGTAAGAAAGAGAGAGACAGATACCTCCTCCTCCAGCTTGTAGAAGGTGTTGTAAAATTGCCAGTCGGCTCTCTCGAGACCCTTAAATTGATGGACAACCATCTCGAAAACGCTCGGGTACGACCCGTAAACCGATATGAAAGATGGCATGTCCCGGGGCTCCAGCGGGGGCAACCCGGGAACCCAAATCTCTTCCTCCTCCACGAGCGGGACCCTCAGATCCCCTTTGTGGACGAGTTGGTAAATCTGGTCCACTGCGCACGACTGCGTGAAGAACGCCGCCGCCGCAAGCCCCATTTCCTTGGCCACCTCCAGGCCCCACGGCACGAACGCGTCGTACACCACGCAGTCCACGGGCCGGCCCGAGCCCTCCAGGGCCCGGATGGCCTCCTTCAGGGTCGGCCGCCCGTGCTCTTCGAATCGGGACAGAATGACATCCGGCGGCGTGTCGGGCGGGACTCCGCCGTCGAACCCGTCGGAGATGGTGGCGAGGGAGACATCGGCGGCGCTAGGCGACAACTGGGTGGTTTTGGCGAGGTGAGTGGTGATGATTAGCGTGATTGCAATCCCTTTGTGTTTGAGGCGTTTGGCGAATTGGAGCATTGGGTTTATGTGGCCTTGCCGTGGATATGGGAGGATAAGGCAGTGAGGATTTCTCTCCTCCATTTTCGGCATTCACTTAATTGTTGAGTAAATTCGGTGTAGCGGTACTATATAGAGTGGAAAAGAAAGATGCTAGTATACTTCTCGGGAGACGTGTGCCTAATAGCCAACCATTATTATAACACCAACCGGTTCGGTTACCGTTATAAGCGGTTTGATTCGGTTCCGTTTTTTTTTTTTCTTATCGGTTCGGTTCGATTTTCAGTTTTCGGTACAAAATTACCAGCCCTAGAGAGACTAACCCAATATTAGAAAAATGTGGGGTGTATTCAATTCGGAATTTAAGTGACATTTTAAAACTTTTTGAGATTTGAGACTTTCTAGGATTTTCAGATTTTGGAAAAATTTTATGAAATCTCAAGTTCGGGGGTAGGATTTGAAGTGGGATTTCATATAAGATTTTTTGTTTAGAAATCCCACAAAATCTTAAAAAATCTTAATAAATTCTAGTGTCAAAAAAATTAAATACCTCAGGATTTTGTAAGACTTTTGAAAATCCCAATTGAATACCCCAGGATTTTTAAAAGTTTTAAAAAGTCTTAACAAATCTAAATTGAATACACCAGGATTTCTAAAGTCTTAAAAAGTCCTTAAAAATCCTAATTAAATACACCCCCCGTAATATGGAAGAAATTAGAATGAAACAAATAGATGGTGAAAATAAACATGAAATAATTAGGGAATAGATAGTGAAGACGAAAATGAACCCACATTCAATATGAATGAACAAAAACCTCAAGACACCATCATTGTCACAAAAACAACCTAGAACATATAATTATGAAGCATCTAGTTCACAAGTTAATTATGCAAAAAGAAGTTTTAGAGGTTTTACATATAAAAATGATATAATCAAGGATAAATTAAGAAAAATATACCACAAATATATTTAGAAAAAAAAAAATCTATCTAATGAAATATTAAATATAGATTGTGCAACAAACACAGAAGATTTAATAGTCACACCCTAGACTCTAAGAGTTTTAAATTTTATCTATTCATACTTTATGTCACATACAAAATTATGTTGTTGCCAATATAATAAATGAATTGACCGTATTTGAAACTTAATTTACATTTAATTATTGGTAATTGGTATGAAGACTAAAAAAAATTTTTTTTTTTTTTTTTAGAAAAATGACAAAATCTCAATTGAGTGTCATTTAAAGGACGAAAGTACTAATTTTTTAATATGCCATGTCTGCATCCCAGTGATATAACCGATGGTAGCCGTTCAAAGAGACCAAAATTCTATTTTATTTTTTTAAATAATGAATCGAAACCAAAAGTGTACACTTTGCGGATTTAATCCAAAATAGGGGTTAAATAAGGTATAAAATCTCGTTTTGCCTATTAACTTGATACCCTATTCAGCATCATCCCAATTTTACAATCCTTCGTAATTATTATGTCCGACTCTTGCCGAATGCCTATCATTGTTCAATGATAAATGTTCGATGTATAAACCGTATGGCACTCAATATGACTCTTTTTGACTTTATTTTTTATAAATTAATAATTATTGTGTAGTGCAGAAATAACAGGAAAAGAAATAATGGCACGGTGACGAACCTACAACTGCTTTCTTTGATATTTTTCCAAATCACATTTCTCGCGTGAAATATATAACATTTGATAATGCTAAGTGGCTCTAAACTCATTTGAGCCCACACTCTTGGACTCATGGACATCGCGCCTTATCTTCGAACTCTTGCCTTCCTCTATTCAAGTAACTTTCAATTATTTGCATCAATTTATTCAAAAAGTCGTGCGTTAACTCGTTTTTGTCTTTTGGGAGGTGTTTTATTCCTCAAGTTTTACCTTGACCGAATTCGTGGGACAAGATTTGCCATTCTTTGTGTTCAACTTTGATTTGATCATCTCCCCGCATTAAATATCCACATAAATATTTAAAGAACATAATTTAATCCTTAAGTTTTACCTTGACCGAATTCGTGGGCCAAGATTTGCCATCCTTTGTGTTCAACTTTGATTTGATCATCTCCCGACATTAAATATCCACATAAATTAAAGACATAATTTAATCCTTAAGTTTTACCTTGACCGAATCCGTGGGGCAAGATTTGCCATCCTTTGTGTTCAACTTTGATTTGATCATCTCCCCACATTAAATATCCACAAAAATTAAAGAACACAAAAGGAAATCCAAACCTTCAAAAACAAAAACAAAAAAGGCAACATTTTCGAGTTAATACTTGCAAACTCCAATTATTGTCCGTCCATATATCTTTATAAGCGTCATTTTCACAAGCAATTAAGTGTTTGTTTCAAAACACATGAATATCAATCATGAAGCTCTCGACAACCCACAAACAAACTCTTGAATATTTGCATCCGAACTCCCTCCTTTCCCCACGGCCTCCCTCGCCAACTTCCCCCACTCCATTGCCCTTTTCCTAATCTCCTCCCCACTCTCTCCCCTCATCACACGCTCCACACAACGGACAATCTCATCTCGTCTGACGACCCCACTCTCGTCCGCTTCACCCTTGACTCCCGTTTTCCACACATCCCCAACAAATTTAGCATTCGTGCTCTGATCACTCCATTGTGGTAGCCCCACCATCGGGACTCCCAAACTCAGTGCCTCCAGAGTCGAGTTCCACCCGCAGTGCGTGATGAAGCACCCGACAGACTCGTGTGCCAACACGTCCAACTGATTGCACCACGTCACGATTAGCCCTTTCTCTTGGGGTGTCTCGTCTCTATAGTTTTCAGGGAGCTTGGCTTCCTCGGATGCCCTCACGACCCATAGGAAGTTTATTTGTGCCGTTTTCAAGGCGAGGGCTACTTCTGTCATTTGATCGGCGCCCGGTTTGGCGAAGCTTCCGAAGGAGACATAGATGACCGATCGTTTGGGTTGTTTGTTGAGCCAGACGGTGCAGGGTTCGGTTACTGGCTTGAAGGAGCTCAGGCCGTACGACTTGTCATCCGGCACCACATTGTCTAAGTACCATGATGGTATGGTGGGCCCGATTGTTCTCACCGGCAGGAATTTAGCCATCCAATCACTTACCTTGGAACATCAAATCAAAATATATATATAATTTGTCTCACTCTGTGTATGAGCTAGTGGCACGCTTCATCAAATTAATTAGTTACCGTGTGAAAACTGATTGAACGAGGAAAAAACTTGAATGAAGGTGTCTTTGCTTTGAAATTAACTGAACAAACATTTAATACATGGTTTGTTAGGGGCTTGATTGTTTATGAAATAATTTGTTCAAAATGGTTATTTTAGTTAATCATAGTTAATTTTGAAAAATGTAGTATGGTTAGTTGTTAGTGGAATTTTAAGAATGTATTAAAATAATATTTAAAATAAAATGATTAAAATTGATTTATGTAAAAGTAAGAGATAAATGATTGAAAATGATAGGTAGTTAAAATTATGCGAGTGAATGAATAGTGAATTAAAGTTGATGTGATGTGTAAGAATGATTGGTTTGAATTATTTAATTATATGAATAATATTAAAGATAGTGGAGTTGAGTTAAAATTGAGTTAAATTTTGAGTATGAAATAAAGGTGAGTAAAATAATGCATAAACAATCAAGCCCTAAATCTCGTTTCGACCAGTTAAATTGGTAACCGGTCTGTTGATCGGTCCGTAAAAAATGAGTCAACGACCAGTTGAACCGTCAAAACTGTTTGGTTAGTTAGATCAGTTGAAGCGGTAAAATTTTTTTATAATCAATTTTAATTAAGCATTTGAATTTTTATATTTTCTAAATATTTAATTTATAATATTGATATGGATAAATTTATTACATAAAGTATTATATATATTTAAAGATATTAATAAATTAAATACAAGTTCAAACACTTGTTCAACCAGTGAACATTGGACCAATAACTTTGACTTGTTCGATGAGCGGTCCGATTTTGAAAGTTTTCTTATGCCACTGATACAATCCAAGGATTTTGTATTCATCGTTATAGATGCTTGAATTAATATATAAACATGTAAACTTATGACATTGATACACTTCAATGATTTTGTTTTATCATTTTCTCTTAAAGGCTACGGAGGGTAGAAACAAATGGTGGCACGAAATCCCATAATCATCACAAATGGAAAAAAAAAAGAAAAAAAAAAACAATGTAATACCACTTTTAACTAAATAAACTAGATTTTGTGTTAGGGCATGCTTGTTTACAAATTAACACACTCAAAATTTTTTGATTAATTAAGATTAATTTTAAAAAAAATAACATGGTTAGTTGGTAGTGAATTTTTAAATTTGTATTAAAATAATATTTACCCAGCGACGGATTCAGAAATTTTCATGAGCCAAGACAAAAAATAGTTCGAAAAAATTTTTCACCATATAATACAAAGTACTTATATTAACAATTAAATAAATCATTGAAATAATCGGGTGTTGAGGGGTTCCCTATTTGATTTGCCTTTAACTTGATGCTAAATAATGAAATTGAGAATGAAGTGTGGTTATTCTATTTTGCATTTTTATTATTATTAAAAAATATACCAAAAATATTTTACGATCATTTTTTCATTCATTTTTTTGTAATAAGAAATAAACAAGTCATTTTGAAATATAATTTATTAAGTTAATAAAAGCCTAAATGTCATCACTTTAATTCTTGTTATTTTATAAAAAAATTCTTATGAATTATCTTCTTATAAATAAATTTAGAGTTTTTCATTGTCAATTTTCAACACTTTGTAATTCTATATGTTAATTCCTAAGGATTCGAAATAGTCCATACAAATATGGATCTTTATCCAGAACTTCCAAATTTAAACGCTTGATAACTTAAATTATAAATATATTTTAAAAGCTCATAATATTTATACATATTATCCTTTTTTGTATACGATAACTTAAATTAGTCATATTTTGACAAAATATATAATTTAACATTCATATTTCATATGTAAATTAAAATAATTATATCTCTATCAATAAAAATTTAAATAATTATTAATTACAATTGAAAAACAATAAATTTATCTATAATCTTATTATATAGTATAAGTACTAAGTACTAAAAATGTTATAATTATAATATTATCGAATCTGACCGATGAAGTGTATCAGTTTAAATAAAAACAATAATGTTATTTTGTTAGAATTAATTAAAACTTTAATATAAAAACTTGTATTTATATTTTTACACATATTAAATATAAATATTTTTATTAGAACATTTTAACTATGTTAGTACAAAAAATTGAGCCTAGGCAATTCTACATATGGATCCGCCTTTCTATTTACCATAAAATAATTAAAGATGATTTGATGTAAAAGTAGAAGAAAAATGATATGAAGTGATGATTATTAAAATTATGTAAGTAGATGTATAGAGAATTAAATTTGATGCGTTAGAATGATCTATTTGTAATATTTAACTATATTAATCATATAAATCATAGTGAAATCGATAAGTTGAGTTAAATTTTTACAATTAATTGTGAATGAGTTATTTGGTAAACAATCACTTATTTACTCAGAAAATCTATAAATTGTTACCGTACGTGTTTCCGATTGCACGCACACATACTAGTTCTAGAGATGGCTACGGGCGTGGTCCCAGTTCCGGCCTGGCCCCGACCCGGTACCGGCCCGGCACGCAACCGGCCCGTGGTTTCCGGTTCCGAAGACCGTAACCGTGGCTTTATGGGTCGGAAACGGGTCTCGTGTTTCCATTTTGGTCCCGGCGGTTTGGGACCGGGCCGGTTTACGGACCCAACCCTTAGTTTTTGGCGGGTCGGTTAAGAGTCACTCAAAGGAGGCTCGTGGGCCCGGCGGGCCGGGCTGTGACCCGTGGACTGGCCACCCCTAACTAGTTCTGGTAGAAAATGCTAGGAAAAGGGGCTGAAAGTGTAATTGTAAGAAAGTTATTAGGCCCAAAAAGCATGGAAAAATTAATAAAAAATTAGTGCCCGTAAATGGCGTACCTCTTTTTCCAACTCGTAAAAGGTGTTGACGAAAACCCAGTCCACCTCTTCCACATTCCTGAACTGCTGGATCATCATCCTGGATCTCTTCGGATCCGATTCATATCCTCCAATAAAAGAAGGCATATCACCGGGTTTCAAGATGGGCAACCCGCCCGGGATCCGAATCTCGGGCTCTGAAAGCGGGAGCTTCAGTTCGCCCTTGTACGCGTGGAAGTATATATTATTCACCGAATTCGACTGTGTGAAAAACATAGCGACCTTTAACCCGAAACTCTTGGCTACATCCAGCGCCCATGGGTAAAACGGGTCGTAGATCAAGCAATCCACGCCAGATCCGGTTTCCTGAAGCCTCTCGAGCAGCCGGGCCAGGGACTCCGACCCGGACGCCCAGCAGCGTTTGTAGTAGTCGTCTGGATCTGCCTTCTCGATGCCGCCGTCGTCGAAGCCGTCGGAGATGGTTTCCACGGGGAAATCGGCGGCGGGGAAGTGCTGGGCGCTTTTAACGAAGAATTTGGTGAGGGTGATCGTGATTTGGGTTATTCCTTTGTGTTTGAGGCGTTTGGCGAATTGGAGCATGGGGTTTATGTGGCCTTGCAGTGCAAATGGGAGAATTAAACAGTGGAGTTTGGGCTTCTCCATGATTGAGTGGTGGTTGAAGCCGAGAGATCAAATAAAGGTCCATTCATATAATTTCGTTGCTTAATCTATACTAGTACGTAACCCGTGCGATGCACGGGATGTAAAATTTGGAAGAATAATATAACCTCACGTGCATTAAGATCGAAATTGAAATCATTAAAATACATAAGAACATTGTTGAATCATAACAAGTTCGGTAACAATCATATATTATTAAAAACCTCTTGTACACAACATTATGAGTTTGATTATTTGGTAACTCCTCATTATCACAAACTAATATTTTCAGAAGAGACAAATCCTAAAAATCAAACTAATATTTTTGGTGAACAAACTAATATTTTAGGATTGGTGAACAAACTAATATTTTAGGATTTCTAAGATTTGTCTCTTTTTGGTGAACAAACTAATATTTTAGGATTGGTTATATGAATAAGGCTACCTGTTTTTGGTGTTCATTTTATTCATTTTCATTCAAACAATCCGATGACTTGTATAATGAAATCCGAATCTTAAGCCGAAATATTTAAAAAAAGAGTTTTTAAAAATTGAAAAGTCAAGGCAATCAGTTCAGATTAGTTAATGGTCAAAGAATATTCATTCCTTCGTGTGCTATCATTAACCAAATATCCGGTTATTGATATAGAGTGGTTACCAAAAAATAGAATGCGATAAGGACGCTTCATGGAAATATCAATGGGATAAGGTCATAACAGATCGCTATACATTTTAAGGATAAAAGCTCAGATGGAATGATTTATGATAATTATGTCGTAATTAATGAGTTAATTAGATGTGTGAAAAGGACATAATTAATGACAAGTGTGAAAAGGACATAATTAATGAGAAGTGTGAAGAAGACATAATTAATGAGAAGTGTGAAAGGAACATAATAAATGAGAAGTGTGAAAAGGACAAAAACTTACTGGTTTTAGAAAATATTTAATGCAAATCCGACATTGACCATAATTTGACCTACTATTTTGGATAAATGTTAATTTTTATTATATAAGTATAGATTTATATAAATAGTATCAAGAAAAGTCAACTGCAATTAATGCTATTACTATTTCCAGTATATATTTTATTTAATTATTTTATATTAAAATTAATGCTATGCGATTCAATTAATGTTATTACTATTTTCATACAGTCAGTTTTCCTGCGAAAAAATCCCACAAAATCGGCTTTAATTTTTTGTATATTTGAAATTTCCTTCTTATCTTCTATTTGGTTTATCTCATACAATCCGTTTAGTCAACAAAATCCTATAAAATCTTCTATTTGGTTTATCTCATACAATCCGTTTAGTCAACAAAATCCCATAAAATCGTTTTAAACTTTTTGTAGATTGAAATTGAAATATCCTTCTTATTTTTTTATCAAATATTTTATTATTTATGTATTGAAATTCTGTAATCCGATTTCAGATTCTATCATTAAGAATATATATTTATATTATCAAATCATAAAAGGGTACTAAATTCATATTGTAAAAAAAATAATTCATATAATTTTATAACAATTCTATTACACTATTTAACCATATTCCTATTTATTATATAATAAAATAATAATTAAATATTATATAGTGAACAACAATAAGTAAAATTGTTACTTTCTCTTATATCAAGGGATAAATTTATATGTTAAAATTCTTTTTTTATCAGTATAAATATTTTAGTGAGATAATATATTAATTATTTTACAAGTTAGCCCTAACATGCTCATATTTTGTTTTGGCTAAAAAAACAACGCTGGTTAAAAGATGTGAAAAAAAACTTATAATAACTCTATTGTTTTTTAAGCTTAACGTTGATTAAAAACGGTGAAAAATATATAATAACCCTATTAATTTTTAGACTTAAACGGACAAGAGTGTGAAAATAACTCATTTAATATCTCTGTCTCGCACGGGATACGTACTAGTTTATTATTAGAAGTGATTCACTAATTTGGAGTTTTGCTACTTTGACACAAATCATGATGACCTCATCAATTATGTATCAGTAACAGTGTTTTACATCTTTATACTGCATAAGCTATTTTAGTATGAAAAGTATTTTTATACTCAAGTAAACAGTGGTGGTTGAAGCTGAGAGATCAAATAAAGGTCCATTAATATAATTTCGTTTCTTAATTAATAATTACTATTAAAAGTGATTGACTAATTTGGAGTTTTGCCACTTCGCACAAGTCATCTTGACCTCATCAATTATGGGGTAAGGCTACAATCCCATTACGAAATCATTCTGTTGGAATTTGTAACCGTTAGATCAATTATCATTGACGGTTACTTGATGCTTGAACGATTACAAATCTCCCGTTACGGAAATATTCTGTTGGGATTTGTAACCGTTACATCAACTATCATTGACGATTACTTGATGATCTAACGATTATAAATCTCAACGAAATGGTTCCGTAACGAAATTGTAGTATTTTTCTCAATTATGTATCAGTAGGGATGTCGGACACTAGTATTTTTTTTATTTTTTATTTTTATTTTTATTTTATTTTTTTTTAAATGTCGGACACTAGTATTACTAGTATATTTTTCTTTTATAAATGTCGGACACTAGTATTACTGGTATTGTCTTCCTACTTCACTAATATCACTATTTTTAAATTTTCAAATTTTATGTGGCAAAATTATATATTTAATTATTAGATTTGAATAGACATTAATTTTTAAAAACATCAATAAACTAAACTTATAAATGAAATTAAATAACTTAAATGTTACCATTGTTAATATTCATTATAAATTTGAGTTTTTTTAGATAATTGTCATAATTTAGTCAAATATATGTTCTATTACTGAATGATAAAAAAATGATTTCTCTCCATATCTTTTTTCTTTTCATACTTTGAACTTGGATAGTTTTTTTAATTTGATATTATATCGTATTCGTCATCATTTATCTCCGCAATTATATGTTCGAATTGTATATTGTTGGATAAAAGTTCGGCTCATATCATGAAGGGTGCATCAAATTATTTTAATCTTATTATATTTGAATCATTGAGGGCATGTGGATATAAGTTATTTTGAATTTGTTGGATAAAGTGAGTTAATTTAACAAAACAAAATGATTGAGTTTGGTTTGAGTAAATTTTCGAGTTTATATTAAAATAATAGTTAAGATATTGTCATTAAAGTTGATTTGATATAGAATTAAGAGAGACGTAATTGAATGTGATGGGTGTGGTTGTACGAAATTTGACAAAGATAAAAACACAAATTGATACGTAAAATGAAAGAACTTTTGTATTATTGACATATAATTGTGGATTACAGAAAGTCGGAATTTGCGTAAACCGAGTTGCTTTGCATGTGTATATTTGATGCGTGAAAAAAGATCCTCGTACAATAATAAATTCTGCTATTTTTTTTGGTACAAGAAAGGGACGCAAAGCTTACGCAAACTATAGAATAATCTTCCTAGGATAAGACACGCCGATCATGTCATGATGTAACCAGATTCCCGCCCCCGGCGAAGGGCACTCCAAACGATGAAGCCACCCGGACCCTTGGCGCCAAAGATGCCAAATAATCCGCTACAAAATTAGCTTCCCTATAGCCATGAATAATCTCCACAACCCACGGGCGGCCCATAAGCTCTTGAATCCCCTTCAACACACTCCCATGCGACCCGCTATAATCATCATATTGTACCATCTCAATGATGCTCTTGTTGTCGACCTCAACTTTAATTTTTCGGGCCCCGATATCCCATGCTAGCTGTAACCCTTGGAACAATTCCCATAATTCGGCCCCTATAATCGAACAGAACTCGATATTCATCATGAACCTACGTACCCATCGCCCATGGTGGTCGCGAATGACACCATCTACACTCGCCATCCCCGTCGTAGGAACAAAGCTGCCATTTGTATTGACCGTTAGCTCGTCCTCCTTCGGGCAAGATCAAGAAATCCAATGTGTTTCACGCAACCCGGGAAGCCCTACCTTTCGGCTACTAGCCAGTGCCCCACGCACCTTGTCCACATATGAAAATACCTCTCCAATCCGTTGAGCCATGGTAGTGTTGGTCCCTTGTAACAAATTTAAATTCCGCCACCGCCATAAACGCCAAACTGTGAGACCAAATAAGGAAACCCAGTTGTCCATGGCCGAGTTGAAACCCCCCGATAAATTCGCCAACAACAAACTACAGAGATCCAAAGAGAAAAATGCATGCCATTGAGTGCGTGGAAGCAACCTTTTCCATGTTCTCATCACCTCATGACAATCCCGAAGTGCGTGTAGCGTAGATTCACCGGCCGCCAAACATAGCATGCAGGTCGAGCTCGAAACCATACGTCGACGTAGCCGGTTTTCGTTGGTTAATAAACTGTCGTAGCTTGTGTTTGACTTTGTTTACGAGGTAGGTGTGATCGCATTTAATGCAAAAGTAGCTTTATGAAGCGGTCTGTTGGCCAACGGGTGTACAGTAATGATTGCAATGTGGTGTGTGGTCCAACTATGTGGGTGCCTTGTCACTTGCTTTGGGTTTCGATCTTCTCTGACCTCGATTTGCGGAAGAATCTTGAGAAATCAATTATTCTGGGCGTGAAGTCGGTTCGGACTTTGGACTGTACCGAGTTGCACCAAGTTAGTGGTGTCGTTTGGTTTTTGAGTGACGATCTTTGATTAGCATTCATAAACTTTCATCTCAAACTTGGTTTATCAGGTCAGTTGTCAACAATGGGTATTTGAAATTATGTAGGTATGAATAGTAAATTAAAGTTAATGAGATATGTGAAGATTACTTATCGATATTATTTAATTATATTGATAATATTATTAAGTAGAGTTTAGTTGAGTTAAATTATAATTAGATTTTAAATTTAAACAATTATCTGAATATTGTATATCCAATGAGCCGGGAATGTGAATGTATGAAAGATGTAGAGCCCACGAGAAAAGACTAAAAAGAGCTTGGAATGTTTGTACCAAAGAAATAAATAAATAAATAAATAAAAAGAGCTTGGAATGTTGGACGACACAGCTGTATCAATTACCTTTGTGTGTTTTGGTCGTCTTTGTCAGTGTTTTCTCTCTTTCTTTTCCCGTTGGGAGTGCGTTCCGTGTATTCTCCTGTTGGGAGCTTTTATTCTCCTGTTGGGAGCTTTTGTGTGTAGTTTTTGCCCATTTTGGGTCAGCGTAGTTGGATTTTGTGTTTGTAGGTTGACTCTAGGCTACCGTCGGTGTGTCCGTTGTAAGTGTATTCCTCTCTACTAGAGTCAACTATTCAGCTTATTCGGCCTTTGGCTGTTTATTCAGCTGAGTAGCTAGTTTCTAGTCTCGACTTTGTTGTGAATATAAGATCTTTCTATCATTTCGAAAAACAAAAAAAGTAGCATGTTTCTTCACAGTCTCTCCTAGTTTTTCCTAGTTTGAATATCTCCATCAAATTTCATAATCAAATCACAACAAATTATTTATTTAATTAATTAATATTAACTCTAGTCTTGGTTCAAAACCCTGAATTGAATCGAAACAATCTAGCTAGAGGCAAGGGCCCTCAACATTAATATTGAAAGAAAGTCTTGAATGTACTTCTATCAACTCCCTCCCTTGTCTACCGCTGACCTAGTCAGCTCTTTCTATTCTTTTTTCTTTTCTTTTTTTCTTTTGTTTGTGTTCTTTCTCATTTACTATCTATCCCCATGACACTGGGCTATCTCCGCCTTCCGCACCACATTTTCCCTATCGGGTCGGGCCCTAACCGTGACCTTCCAGAAATCCATCACCAGCTTTGAATTCGTGCTCTGGTCGCTCCACCATGGGATGCCCACCATAGGCGCTCACGGGCGAATTCCACCCATAGTACGTGACAAATAAGTTGATGGCATCGTAGGTTAGGACCTCGAGCCATGGGGCCCATGAGACGATAAGTCATTAATTTACCTCTCGAGAAGCCCTCTGGGAGTTTGTGTTACTCGCAACGGCGGATCCAGAAATTTTCACTGAGTCAGAGCAAAAAATAGTTGAAGAAAATTTTTAATCATATTGCACAAAGTACTTATATTAATAATTAAATAAATTGTTGAAGCAATCGGGTCTTGATGGGTTCTCTATTCAATATACATTTGAATTGATGATAAAAAATGAAATGGAGAATGAGGCCTGATTACTTGATTTCACGTTTTTATTATTATTAATAAATATACAAAAAATATTATACAATCCCGTTTTCATAATGTTTTGTATAAGTTATATATAAACAAGTCATTTTGAAATAAAATTTATTAATTTTAAAAAAGAAAAGCTTAATTGTCATTATTTTAGGTCATATCATTTTATGAAGAGTTCCTTATGAGTTATCTTCTTACATATAAATGTAGAGTTTTCTATCCATATTTATTAGAACTTTCAAATTTAAATCCTTGTATAACTTAAATTGTAAATATTTTTAAAAGTCAAAAACATTTATATTTGTTATCAGTTTTTATACATTATAAATTAAACTAGTCATATTTTGACGATCTATAATTTAGCATTAATATCTTATATATAAATTAAAAAAATTATATCTATCAGATCTCTGTCAATAAAAAATTAAATATTTATTACTATGACTGAAAAACAATAAATTTATCTATCAAATCTATCATATATTATATATACTAAAAATACTGTAACACAATGCCGTCAAATTTTGACAGGTGAGGTGTATCATTTTGTAAGAATTATTTAAAATTTTAAAATTAGAACTTGTATTTATATTTTTACAAATATTAAATATAAATTTGCAATTAACACATGTAATGATATGAAGTTAGTACCAAAAATCTAGCCTAGGCTGGTCCTAATGTGGATCCCCCACAGGTTACTCGGATGGTCTGGCGACCCATAGGAAGTAGTTGTCGGTCTCTTTCAAAGCTAGCGCAAGCTCTTGCGTTTGCTCGGTTCCCAATTCTGCCATGCTCCCGAACGACACGTAGATGACGGATCGGCTCCGTTTCTGGTCTAGCCATTTCATGCAAGCGTCTGATGTCTTGAAGATACTTAGACCATAGGTCTTATCTTCGGCCAGCCTCTTGTCCAAGTACATACAAGGTACGGTGGATCCAATTATTTTCACGGCCATAAATTTTGCCATCCAATCAGTGACCTGAAATATGTGAGGGCAGTCATCACAATAATTTAGTAGTTTTAGTTCAAGCTTGATGTTTTAGCAATTACATAGAACAATTTTGTACTCAAGCGAAAAGTAAGATTCCAAATCAATCCAAATAAAATACCTCGAGTGAACCGACTCAAGTTAGCACTAGTTAAGGAGTCTTAGACAGGTCGAACAGTGCATTTTGCACACCTTGGTAGCTCAGACTTATTAGATATATTTGTAGCTCGGATATACTGCAGCTCGGACCTACAAGACATTTCTGTAGCTCCGACACAGTATAGTTCGAACCTACCAGACACTTTCGTAGCTGGGACACGATATATCTCGGACTTACTAGATATGTAAGTAGCTCGGACATAGTATAGCTCAAACACGTGATGGAGGACGTGTTTATATCTTGGACATAATAACATGCAAATAGCTCATAGCGCAGTACATCGAATTCAGGTTGTTAACAAGGTACACGTGTAGGGTCATAAACAAAAGTAGTAGATGACCTAACAGATAAGAATCGAGATCGTGCAGATCCATGGGTAGCCAATAACCGATGGGCAGCCCCTCGGGCAATTCGGGCACTTGGGCAGGCCTTTGGACAGCCGGGTAGGGCAACAAGAAGCCAATAACACCCTATAAATACGTAAGGTTTGGAAAAGGTAAAGGTTAATCATACTCTACACTCTAAGTTTTACAATACATTTTTCATAACATTCCATAGCCCCTTTGCTGACTTGATCATCAGAGGTTTAAGCTAGGAACACTTCTTGGCGTCTTTGTATGTCTCTGGGGAGAAAATTGGTCAAAGGATCGTCGAAAAGCCGGTTCAAGGTGCGAGAGCACATCAATTGGTGTCTTCTATGGAAATTGTTTCTCTACATATTCTAGACGAACCTAAGATGGAGAAGGCGACTATAGCGGACTGGAGTTGGAGGAAGAACTTGGATAAGAGCCCGGAGAAGGTGGGGTTGGCCAAAATGTCTTTTGGAGTTGGGCCACCTCCGAGATGGTCTGGTGGGGAAGGAGCATTGGTTACCCTGAGGATGAGCGTAAAGGAGCATTGGTAACCCTGAGGATGAGCCTGCCAGGGGAAAATGAAGGAAGTGGTTGTTCATGCAGCTAAGAAATGAGCTCCGATGCGGGGGAGTGAGCAGGTGATACAGCTTATCTGAGGGTCGTTGGACCGGATAATTGTGAAGGTAATCGGTCGGGTGAGGCTGTCGCAACTCACCCGGTGGTGGAGCAACTAGCTGCAGTGGTTGATCAACCTATAGCAGGGGCTCAACATCCTACCCCTGTGGTGGAGCAGCACATTATGGTGACCTCTAAGACGGTAATGTGAAGAAGTAGGAGGCGAGAGGACGGTGAGTAGAAGTCGATCGTGTCGCCGATGGTCAATAGACCACTGCGAGACGTAACTTTGGTGCTCATGTCCAATCAAATCAGGGAGCTCTAAGCCAAGGTGGAGTGGTGTCGGCATCCTCGAGTGCAGGGCCATCCTTTCTCCAATGATGTTTTGGACGCAGGTCGACCTATAAATTTTTGGGAGCCAAGTATGGTCTATGACGGGTCTACAGATTCTTCTAATTCAAATTTATAATAAGTTTACAATTTATTTGTAGTTGTAATTGGTCTGGTGGTTGAAATTGAATTCGTTCAAATGAAAGAGACTGATGGTGTCCAACACAGATGATTGTGTTTACTTTAATGATTGATGGCACACTTTAGGGGATTGCACGCTTCTTTTTTTAACTTTATTATATTTTTGTGTAAAAATCGTACTAATCATGTATTTAAACAATTGTTAAGAAGAAATAAGATTGATTGTACACTTTGTGGGATTACGTTGACTGGTTTTCGAAAATTGAAAGTGAATATAGAAATGAACGTCAACCACCAGTGTTGATTCTTCATCTTTGACGAACCAAGCAATGTGAGTATTTTTATTAATATATCAAATTATATATATTGTCACTAATGAAAAAGGCCTGAAAGTATTAGGGCCCCCTTGTTTATCAAATAATCCGTTAATAATGAGTTATTTTGGTTAATCATAGTTAATTTTGAAAAAAATGGTATGGTTAGTTGTTAGTGGAATTTCAAGAATGTATTAAAATAATATTTAAAATAGAATGATTAAAATAAATTTGATGTAAAAGTAGGAGATAAATGATTGGAAATGATAGGTAGTTAAATTATGTGAGTGGATGGATAGTGAATTAAAGTTGATGTGATATGTAAGAATGATTGGTTTGTATTATTTAATTATATGAATAATATTAAAGATAGTGAGGTTGAGTTAAAGTTAAGTTAGATTTTGAGTATGAAATAAATGTGAGTAAATTAACTTGTAAACTATGAAGCCCTTAGTTTATGAGACGGTGGTTTATCTATAAGGCAAACAAACAATTTGATAATGTTCAAATTATTCTATTATACTAATTATTTTTATTCACGTAAATATATTAAAAAAATAAATAAAAGCTTAGCAAATAGCCGTAAAACTGTCTACCTCGTGCATTGACAGGGTCCGAACTAGCTTGGATTTAAGTGTGTGGATTTATTGTAATTTGAGATATATTTATTTTGCAAGTAGTGAAAATAAATAAAAGTAAGGTACTTAATCTTAATTTCTAGGCCCCGCCTAGGCGCCGCCTAAACCCCCCTAAGCGCTCTAGGCGCTAGATGTTGGTTGAGCACCTAATGACTTTTAGAACACTTGCTGATAGCATATTTCTAAAATGGTATTATACAAGCGTTTCAAGAGCTACGCGATTCAAAGAATAAAAATTATGCAATGAAATAAAAACCATAAA